TAAAATGTTATGATCAATGCCGTCAAAAGCTTTTGAAAGATCTAAAAATATTCCAATAGGTGCTTTGTTTTGATCCATGGATGAAGCGACATCTTAATTACAACTTACATCTTACAACATAGATTTTCAGATGTGCATCATTCAAGATAAAAAGGCAATGTCAATTTATTCCCATGATTATTTAGATATTTTCCTGAAAACTAAATTACCATCTTTAATCTTCACATGTATTACAGGACAGTAAACTTATGTACAATCTTTCAAATACTACAATTGTTTTGCCCAGAATTAAAAAAATTATTACTTCACTACAAGAATCCATGTATTTCAAGAAATAATGTTTTATTTAAAGAAATGTTTTGCAAAACACAAAAATTACTATTGTTCATCAATACTTCATTTAACAAGATATTGCAATGAATATTTGAGCAATGAACAATTAGGTATGATTGAGACAAGTTTTGTAAGAGTTTTGCAATAAAGACTATCGGATTTTAGCTAGTTAGAATTATTTATAACTAATTTGTAACTTAATTAATTGCACTTTGTTTGTATTTGTTAGATATTAATTTTAATATATCTTACTCTGTTAACTTCTGTATGTATGTCAACTATGTGTGATATATAATTTCATTTCGGCAAATAAGCCTGTGTAAATAAATAAATAAGGGGCCCCTGATGATCCACTGCCTCAGGCTATTTCTTTTCCTTCTAGCTTCTTTTTATTAGTTGTTGTTGTTCTGTGTTTTGTCATCCACCAGGAATCCCCCAGCATAGACATATCCTATTTTTCTTAGTAATATCTCTCAATAGCTTTTATATCCTCGTGAAATCTCTCCTCTTCCTTCTGTCTTCCAATCCTTCCCTTCCTCAACTGAAGTCTCCCAAATTTTCTGGAAAATTGTTCACCTGAGAATGTAAGAAATGGACTTCAAGCTCATTTTACAACCTTGATCTTTGAATACTGTATGTGAACATTTCACTAAATATGTTTGAATTTGTATGCATTACTTTTAAAAATGGGTTCTTTGTTGTTACCTAGGAATCTATTAATGACCTGTTTCAACCATTCCAACCTTCTTTTTCAGTTTTATTCATTGTTTGAGCGAAACTTCATTGACTAGAATTTAGGAATATCTGGTCCCACAAAAATTCCTTCTCTCGATTTGGTTTCAGAATGTTTTGGGAATTTGACACGCACATCTGAAATGTTCTCTATCTTTTGGGGCTAATTCCACAAACTGTTTCATCACCTCCAGTTTTATGAAAAGGGGAAGTAGAAGAACTTCGTCAGGGGAAACTCTAAGCTTACATTAACATTTTTGTCACATAATCTGAAAGCATCTCAAAGAAACCAGTATTCTTTCTCTCAGTGACCTTTTCTTGTATGACAATTCCACAAGCAAAGAACGAGGGGATATTTAGTTGTTAAATAATCAATTTATATTAATGTATAGTGTTTGTATTATTTATTTTTATTTAATTGTTGACTCTAAATTAGATAATTATTTAAATTAGTTTTTGAGCCAAGAAAGGATCATATACTTGCATATATTATTACACATTTGCTGAAATAATTCCTTTTATAGTCATACTACAACATTATAATATTAACTAATTAATTTGTTTTAAAAACATAAATATATTGAAGTTCTAAATTGTAAATTATTTTAATAAATGAAAATATTTTTTGCATCAATTTTTTATTGAACTTGTAAGTTTGGAAAAAAATTAAAATTTGATATATTGTATATTTGAGAATCCAATTAAATTGGCACAGTATTGCCCATGCATTCATCCAATTTTTTATCACAAGGGGGTATTCAAAATATTCCATATTTGCGTTTATTTATAGATGGCCCATAACCAAAAAATTAACATTGGCTAAAATTAAAATAAAAAAAAAGTTAGTTTTCCCATATTGTGGGACAAAAAGTATAGTTATTATTGTACATCTCCATAGTCTATTCCAAACTTTCAGAGACCACTAACTTCATCTGAGTAAATGAGATGGCCTTCTTATGAGGAATATGGAACAAATTCTTTCTCACAATTTCTGAACCAGGAGAATGATGTTTTCGCATTTATTTGTTTGTTTGTTTTTTCTCCTCCAGCTTAGATTCTAACAACTCTGCTGCATCTCATTAAAGACCTCTCTCACTAAGTCTCTCATGAAGCTCATTTTGAGAAAATAGTTGAGGATCCTGTTTAAATTCAATGTAGTCAGATTCTTCTTCAGCAAATTCTGTTATTAAACCTTCTATATCTAGAGTAATACCGCATAAACTAAACAGTAGTTTTCGATTAGGAAGTCATAGCTATGTGGAATAGGCTGAATAGCATACTCAAGAATGGGATAAGCAATTTATCTCTTGCTTTGTTTGTAATGTCCTCTCACATCAATTGAACTAAGGTAGTAGTCATCACGTATTTTTTTGCTCACGCCTCACCAAAGGAATTCCAAACAGAAACTTTTCATTCTTACCTATAAACCGCAAACAAAAATCTTCTACACATTTTGTCTCTTCTACACTTTATGAGTAGTCCAGTTTTTGTCTTCTTTGCTCAATTTCCGTCCAAAGTACGCAAAAAATTATAAGAATCAAAACCAAGGTACAGAGTACATTAAGGCAATTGTAAAAACGACTAGAATCTGAATTTGGTAAGCTATATAGTTTCCCAATATTCATGATGATGCAGCCCTTGCTCTAAATTTTTGTAGTGAAACACTGCTTGAGGACTGAACATAGTGGTTAGGGTCATACATGTTAATTTTGTTAAGAAAATATGATTTCATGATGTTGCAATTTGCTAGGAAAGGAAGCTTTGGAGAGATGGACTAGTAAAAACCTGAAAACACAATTGCAGTTTTAGCATTTTTATTTATTTTGATTCTCTTCACATTGTTCTGTACATATGATCATTTCTGGATTTTTGTTATGAAATTTATGAAATATTTGTAAATGAAATAAACTTTCCCTGTTTAACAAATAAAAAGGTTTCCATATTTCTGAAGTTTTAACATTTTTGATATCGATATTACATTCATTACTATAATTGAGAGAAATTTCAAGCATTCTCAGATTACAAAATAAAAATACATGTTTAAATATGCTAACCACTTCAAAGTAGATACAAAATCTTTAATATCGACTCACAAATGACTTACGCGTAGATTTTTTCTACGTATTTTATGTAATAAAATGTAACTTGTTTTAAAACTATTTTGTTCCATTATTGAAATTATATTTTCATAATTTTCTCTCACTTCTCATGACATTTTAGTATCAATTAAAAGTTGTATTCATAAATAAAATCACAGGGAAAATATATGGAAAAAGTCCTACTTTTTTTTAACAAAGTCACTTAATGTACAAATAATACATAAAAGTTTTAGGCAAGATATCACTGCTTAAGCCTCTTTAATTTTCCACCTTTATATTGAATTTTCATACAAAGCACTAATTACTGTTATAGAAACTAGATATATTTTTATCCGTTTCAATTAAGTAAGCATATGAACACAGAATATTTCTCCAAAACTATTATCCCAAAAGAATTTTGAATCTATTTACAGTAATGAAGAGAAAACATAGTGAAAGAAAAATTTCAGATGCACAAGTAAATTCATCAAGCACATTATTTCTTCTCTGAAAATTTGTGTTTTGTGGAAGTTATTTTGAAATAATAGAACAACTCTTTTACAATACTAATACTACAATCACTTGAGACATAAAATGCTCTAACATACATATTTCCAGGATGTGTCTAATAAGTTCCAAAGATAATATGTTTATACAACATTTACTCCACAATTTTCAGGTAGATGGTGCTTTTGAAAACATACTTCGAATATTTTTACATCTTGGGAATGGAAATAACAGTTGAGGTGCCTAGAAAGAGAAATATGTACGAACTTGGTCAATGATATTAAATGTAAATCCAAGTGGCAGGAATAAGCTCAGGAAATCAAATGAGCAATGGTATAAAATCAATAGATGGTAGTATCTGAAGGTAGAAGTCACGTGGCATTAAATCAGCTGATTTGTTCAGTAACCAATGTAGTATAAAAGCCAATGTAAAAGTGGAAATGTACTACACTTATTTCTGCAGCTCCTATGCACCTCAAGTGATATGAAGTAAATAAGAGAAATGAAGAGGATATTTTCATATGGTATAAAAGAGTTCTTTCCTTTACCAATTACACCTTTAGAGCTACACTAGAAAAACTGGTGGTCATACCACCAATATCTACTATCAGTCTGCTCAAAAGCCCATTCTAACCATATATATACACACACACATTATATATAAATATGTTTATATATAAACATGTCACTGTACCATAAAATTATGTTAAAAAATCTACATAAATTCACTGAGAATTGAATCACCACAAGAAATTGTCATGAAACAGCTAAACAGAAATGATATTTGAACAAAATTGTTTGTACAATAGCAAACCAAATCAGTGAAGGCAAACAATAACATTATTAAAACAATATAGAACACAAGGCAATATTTAAATATTGTTACTGTCACTTTAGTTAAAAAATGCCATGTTACTTATTTAAGGGATATACAGATGAAAACTAATTTTGGAAAAATATACAATTTCAACTCTGTTTACTGTACCAGACAAATACAAGGGCAGTAAACACTAACATGAAGTTCTCTTTTTCTTGTAAAGTCTGTTTCAAAACATTTGACATTTAAACGTTTGTCAATGGCTTCAGGTACAACACTGCAAAATAAAAATCCCAATGAACATTAATGACTTGAATATTATATCATAACTGATGATCAGACAAATATTTCAAGCACTGGGAGCCACTGGAAATGGGCAATGAATCAACACTTTTATCTCTCATACCTCAATGGTAGCATAAATTAAAAGTACCAATTCCATGCAAAGGTACCACTATCATTTACACTTGCACACCATACACATAAAATAATATAACAATTTTCAAACATTTTTGAAACAAAATTAACATATTAAAAAATATCTCGTGTAATGACCATACATTTGAGAATTTTGTAAATATTCATCATGAACTACTGCATTCAAAAAACTAAGAATAATACTGTACAAACCATAATTTTTCTCATCACTTCCTATCATTTGAAATATATTATAAAATGAGCACTGAAACAATGAAATACTCTACAGAACAGAACTTTTTTCTCCCATTTTCATCACAGTACAAATCACAATTTTTAACAAGACTTGAAAATAAATAATAATTATGTACAAAGCATTACACAACATATACAATAATTAATACATAACACCTGACACCCCAAACAGTTCATTCTCTTGTTTCAACCTTTACTCAAGAGTACTCCTTCATGAATGCTGTTTTGTATCATCCATACAATTGGTCTAGCCAAGAATAGCTCACAGCACCTGTAGATTTCTTTTTACAATTAGTGCTGATGTGTTACGCAACAGTCATCAAACAAATACAATTTAGTTCACAATGGCAGACAATGTATTTTATACATACTTAGTGGTAAATCCTAAAGTTAGCAAATCAATTTGTATTTACAAGTCTCCAAACACAGTAACAGGCAAGTAACTCATTCAGGGATCTATATTTTGTGGAACACGTTAATCTGTTTTCTCCTTATAAAAACTTTGAGTATTATAAGGTACATCAGCATTAAAATGAAAATATGTGACAAGAACAGCATAATTTAAAATACTAGAAACACTTTTCCAATCTGCCCACAATATACCTTTATAACAGGTACATAAATGTAGAATACATTTGGATGAAAGAATACTGAAATATGTTCCAGCAATGATAAGAACTGATGGTCTGGCAAGATGGAATTTTCTTCATGTTTGTTGGAACAAAAAAAATTATACCAAAATAGGAAAGACACATAAGCACCTTATGGCAATTAAGCAAATATAAATTGTCCCCCCTAATTAATTTGTTTTAATCCAATGTTCATTCTCACTTTGTAAAATAAAATGCTTTAATGTGGAAAGTAAGTTACACAAACATACAAAGCCTTATCAATTGATATTCTCATTAATACAGAATGGGCACTGGAAAAAATTGTGCGATAAGATAAAAAAATGGATAATAGTTAACGAGTACACAATTTCAAAGTTGTCATTAATATCTTCGGTAAGGCAAATTTATAGATCAGCAATAAGTGGCTGATCCTGATACATCGATTTTCACGTTGGGACTAAAACCACTAATCTACAACTCCAAAATTTACCTCACAACCAGGAGATCCCAGATGGCTGTTACTGCACACATGGAAACCAACATACTATTTGTCTGTGATCATTATTCGAAGACCCAAAGCCACATGGAATAGTGAAAAATTGGTATAGTCTATATATTACACTATTAAACATATTTCAAATTCATGAAGGCATTTGGGATCTTCAAGTTCTCAAATCCATTTGAGACCATAGTCCAAAATTCTCAAAATGAGACATTTGATTTGCAGGTTCTAGCCAACTGCTACACATCAACATACAAATATAAATCTAATTAAAATATATCTGCATACAAAACATACCACATACACAACAACAGGTCCAATAAAACAAATTGAATTTTTATCTAGAATGAATTGAAGACTTACATAAAGAATCAGCAATACGAATAAATGCATAACAATTCACATGCATACAAATGGCATGTAAGCAAATTCACATACATTCTTAAACAGATTTTCCTACAATACTTATAAAAGAATTAATCAATGAACATCATTCCCATTTGTGAAAAGAATATATAACTGGTTCCTAGAATATTACTAAATGACAGAAATACTCACCAGACATTCAAATTCTTATAAATTCATAATAAATTCCAAATACATGCCAAAGACCTTCAAGAATGTTTAATCATCACATTTTTTTTAAGTTATATTGGAAAGTTCGGTTACACACACGCACATACACACCTGTGAGTCAGTACAAATAATGAAATTTATGAAAAAGTTAATTAAAAAGCAGTATCAAAATATGATTTGAACCTCAACCAATACCTATAAAATTCTTCAAAATTATTTGTAATATTAAAATTTGTTGATCTAAGTAATAAAATAAACAACATATTTCTACTCAAAATAAATTGGCTTATTTTATGTAAGTTATTGGTGATCTAGAATTGACACACTACTGACCCCCCCCAAAAGGAGAAGAAAGGAGAAAGAAAGGGAAAAAGAAACAAAAAATAGTATTGGAATGTTCAAATGATGTTCTGAATAACTTTGGCATTACGTATACACGGTATAACATTAACTTGCATAACAGACCAACCCTTGGTGCACAAGTAATATCGCTACAACTTTGAAAACCTTTTATAAAGTGTTTTGCTCATAACAACACACATTTTCAACTCATACACCATGAGTCAGCAAAGGCTCGTCCAAATGTCGAGGAACACCTGCACATGGCAAAAGCCATAGGAGAGGATGGCCACGGCCACAAACCTCAGTCAGAAGGGCCAATTTAGATTTATTTGGTCGATATGGGCCTTGTTGCTGAACCTGTTCTACGGCAGTCTCATCATTGAAGATGGCTTGAAATTGATCCACCAAGATAGCAGAAACAAACATTCCGAATAGAGCACTCTCAATCACCAAGATTACACAATGAAGTCTGCAAAAATTAAGAAAGGACATTAGTTTCAGAAAAACATTATTATTTAAATTAATGCAAAGAAATCAATGTACTCTCACTTCATACCAAAAAAATAAATTTTATTAAGTAAGCAAACTAATTTGTGATAAAACATGCACAAATAATAGATTATTACAAATTTTGTGAAATACCTTACATAAACATTACAAGATTTTAAACACTTGAGTTGGTTTTAGCAGAATCAGGAATTAACCAATTGGCTAGTTTAATTTTTTCTATACTACCAGGTAAATGTCATACTGATGTCTATTATACACATTATGACTGCACATCTCCTTCAATATTAACACTAATTTCCTTGCAAATTTTTTCTCACAGGAATATAAAATCAGTGTTAATTTGTTTAATTTGATTAGTGATGACTTTGCCTCAGACCTACAATGCACTGAAGATATAAAAACTTGAAACTTATGATATTTCACAAGTGTCAAAGTCACGACGTGTGAATTTTTATTTATTTTTATATATATAGTACACAGGCACACAAAATAAAAAAAATGTTGTCAGACCCAAAGACTTGAGACACGTTTCTCAATACATGTCGACACACTGAATACAAATCCAAAGCCAGGATTGCACTGCCTCCTTCCAGTTTTTCACAATTTAAGAAAAAACAGTGGAAAGTGGTAGCACAACTCTGACTGCAGATTCAAATTCAGTACATTGAGACACATGCCGAGTCTCTGGGTCCGACAACCACCCCTAAAAAAAAAAAAGGAGCAAGGTCACAGCGTTTTTTTGTGATTGTGGAGGATGGTGATCAGATTTGGCTTCAGCATGTCAACATAAATAGAGAAATGTGTCATCTTTGGATCTGACAACAACCCCAATAAAAAAATTTAAAAACTCAATTCTCTCTCAATGGATTTTCACTATTTAAAAAATACTGGAGGATGTTGGCATGATTCTTCATAGAGAAACAGGAGTCAAGTCTCTGGGTCTGACAACTTTTTTGCTGTGCCTGTGTTATAATATATCACATATTATCATATATTATTATATATTATATATTTTATTATATTATTATTTGGACCTGGATGTTTATGACATGTAATATTTTTTTCTTTGAGTTATTTCCATGTAAAATATTTATTAAGCATGATTTTATCTACAATGACTAAAACTATGTAATTTTACAAATCATACACAGTCATTTTGGCTATTTTAACCCGTTTGTCATTTTCCATTAACTTTTCATATTATGGTCATATTTTCCAAGAATTTTCATAATTTTTGTCAAATATTCATTTTTTATTTTCCATGCTTGATGGCAGTAATCTCAAAGAGATTATTCACCTATTCTAATTGTTATCTAATTTCTCACAATTGTATCTAATTGCTGTCTGTCTTAGCAGCAATGCTGTCTGTCAAAGCACCGGATGTGAAGGAAGTGTTAGTTTAGTTTTGTCAGGTTTTGTGCCAAGGTCAACTGCTTCTATAAATAACTTCAGTAGGTACAATTGCCTTCATGGGCTGCCAAAGCAGAATGGGTTAACTGCAAATGTGCTAGATTTTTAAAATGTATTTTCAATATAGATGTTACTTAAACAGTGGCAAGATTATGAAGATTTCAAAAATGCAACCAAAAATTTGTAAATCATATTTTTGGTAATATTTTTGTATTTTTTAGGTCATAAACTCTTGCATATTTCTAACATTTATAAGTCATAAACATCTGGGTCCTAATTATTATTATATTATTATTGTTATTATTATTAATATTATCATTATTATTATTATTATTATTATTATTATTATTATTATTAT